CCGCGCCGCCCACGCCGGGCACGCCGCACAACAGCCGCGAGCTGGACGCCGAGCTGGACGAGGAAGCGGGGCCGGAGTCCCCCCGCGACAACTTCACCGAGGACTCCGGAGAGTGCTCTTCCTACGCTGACCACCCCATCAAGGTGGAGTGCCCGTCCTTCGCCATCCCCGTGCCGCCGGGCGATGGTGAGTAGCCGGCGGGCTCCCGGCGCCGGTGTCCTCCCCTCACCTCGCGGGCTCTCCCAGCGCGGCTGCCGGCGCTTCTCCCCGGCCAGCGCGCTTCGGTTGGCTTCTGCCTTACCCTCCTCCTTCCCGGCCCGTCCTCTGCGCTCCGAAATCCGCCCATGCCTCCCCCGGCCCTTGCACCTTGCGCGTCCCCGTGATCCGGGTAGCCCGGAAGGGGAGCGGGCGGCTGCTGGTGCTGTAAATGCTGCGCAGCGGGTAGAGGGAGATGCTGCGGACAGGGGCCCTAGGGAGTTTTTATCCGATTTATCACTGGGAAACCGATGGAAAACTAGCACAGAGGTTATCGAGACAAAGTGGCAGGTAGCACTGTACAAGAAAATAAGCATCCTTCTCGCTGGAGGATTTTCCGGTTCACTGCAGACTGTGCAGTTTTGCTAATCGGTATTAAAGCGATGATGACGATAATACCTGAAAAATCTGCTTATTGTTGCAGATGGGTCAGAAAGCTAGCGGAGAGCTTTTACGTAATAATTGCATGCGTTGTTTCAGAAACACTGCTTTTAACTTTAGTGGCCTTGCGGACCGAAGCAGCACTTCGATAAAGCCGTCCTTTCCCTGCTCGATCTTTACCCTCCGTTCCGCATTTGTATTGTGGAGGTGCGGGGAAAGTGTTACTTGTTTGTTTTGAATCTAGATTAGTGCGGGGGTTTTAATACAAACATGAACCTGTCTTCAGAAGTTGACATCACTGAGGAATCAGCCAATTGGTTGACGTTTAACCAACGTTCTTTTTACACATAAACCCCATCAAAGAGTTGTTTACACTAATGTTCTTTTGAAATGCAAATCTAGAATGCCAACAGACTGAAACTCAATTTAGATTAATGTAATTACTTGCAATACACAAATGAGGCTATACTATTTAATAGCCTTCACTTAAACCTTTTTAGAAGATCAAAAAGACTCCTATTGTTGAACTTTAGTACTACAACAATTAAAAGATACCTCTGTGATTTTTGTGTTACCTTTGCAACTTTTTGGAAGCTTGTCTTTTTGCTTTAGTACTCTGAAATAGAAATATCTGAAATAAGTTCACACTGAAAAAGTGGAACAACTTTGCGGCACATTAGGGAGATTTTTTGCTGCTTTCCTCTTAGAAAATTATTTTTCATCAGAAAAATAATTGTTTCTTTCCTTGCTTTAGGCTTTAAAGAAGTCAATGCTCCAACTATTACCCCACCTCTCAGTCAGCCCAAAAGATCAAAAAAGCGCCATACAAATTTAACATTGGATAAAATGATGGAAAAATTCTTGCAGCAGAGCATGGATACAGATGAGAAATTTTACAGATTTGAAGAGCAGAGGCTCAAAATTGAGGACAAGCGTCGGGAAGCTGAGCATGCTCGAGAACTCCAGATGTTACAGATGTTGGGACAGATGTTGGCAGGAATTTCTTCTACAGTATCACAAAGGTCACAGTCTATACCAACAAGTCCACCTCGGAGAGCGAACCATCGTTCATATGCGGATAACTTTAATTATAATGCTATGACAGCAACACTTTCTCCACCGATAGGTACTTCCTTCTACAGCATAAATAAAAGCTAGGATTTTTTTAATACTTCTGTGTGAAAGCACTGGTAGTAAGCAGCTTTTGAAAATAAAAGCTAATTGGAATAATTTAATATTGTGGTGAAGGTGTCTGTCTGATAAAAATGAAATTAAATTGTCATTCGTACTGTTGTACTGATTATTTAATACAGGTACATTAGTTACAACAAATTTTAATGAGCAAAATCGTACCTTTCAAACACTGTAAACATTGGGAACTTCTTTCCATGTTCACATCTCTATGAAGTCAGGAGAAACTTTATATGTAAAAGGCAAGTAGCAGAGTTGTGACAGCTACTAGAAACATTAGGTACTTTGTAGCAGAAATTTTGCTGCTGTTCTGCTTGAAGTTATCGAGCATAACCCAGTGTATGAAGTTAAGGCTGTGCATATGTTTTTTCAGGGCTGGGAAAAAAATGGAGTTTTGCCTACACTGAAGTAAGTCAGATGTTACAATCTAGCTTCTTTAAAATAAATTTCTTTACAACAACATTCTGAATCTTACCAATTAATTAAATGTATTATTGTAGTAGGTGTTATAGAAGATGAAAATATTTGCTTGTTTTTCTTCAGCACCAGCTCCTTTATAAATTCTTTGGGCATCTGAATTTAGTTTAAAGAAAAAGGCAAAGCAGTAGCTCAAGAATTGGTATTTATGCATAGACTTTTCCTTCCTTACCTTATGTGTGGGCCAAAAGCTGGTCATTAACAGACTGATTTCTTGAGATCTGTGGGTCTTTGACATTTATCTTTATCATAGTCTCTTTCCACATGGAGGTAGACTGCTTGGGGAGGAGGAAATCAGGGATGTTCTCTAAGTGCTGGAACTAGTCAGGTTGGGGCTTGGTGGTTTGTAGCCTGCCACGTGGAAATGAAACAAGTCTTATTCTGTTCTAATTCTGAATTTCACACTGCTTGGAAGGAAAAAATGTAGTTTGAAAAGAGAAAAAAAAATACAAATCACCCAACCTCAGTGTTAAATAAAAATCTGGCATGCCAGATCCTAATGGGCATTCTCTGAGTCCTGAGAGGATCTTGGAGCCATTTCAGTTCTACATTACATACTGTGTTTTCTGGTAAAATGCATGAGAGACTGGGTGATTTGGTCTTTGAGGGTTTAGGCTGGCAGATCTGGTTGTGTTTCTTAGTGAATAGTTGGTCTGTAGCATTTCTTGGTGGCAGCAGACTTTCATAGATTATTTACGGCATACAAATAGATTCAGTGTTTTAAATGTTTTGACTTTTAAATTAAAAGGACAACTGGAGTGCTTTAGAAAATCCCTTTGGAAATCATTTAAGGTTCTAGACTGGGGCGATGGAACCTACAAGGCCTTACCATTACTTCTGAAAGGTTTTTCCTGAAAGCTGAATTATCTGTAATGGCTTGAAACTAAAGTTCAGTTTTTCTTGCTGGATCATGTCAGTATACAGTCATGTTGCACTGTGCAGAAATGCATTATATTTATTTAACTGTAGCAAGAGCAACTCAGGATTCTAATCTTGTGATTGACGAAGGTGTAACAAAGCATTTATCCTAAAACGTGAACATAATGCTTCAGGCAAAACATCTTTTAAGGAATTAAGGTTTCTGTTTATAGCTGAATATGCCTTAGTGATTCTGTAGGTAGAGTAGGGCTCTTTTAAGAATTGCTTTTTGCATAATTCTCTGTTTTCTCTCCATTTATTATGCATTCGCTTTCTATTTACATATAAACAAAAAACAGAAACAAAGAAACAGAAGGCCTTCTTAACAACATTGCACTTTAGGGGTTACAAACTATATTATATTGTGTGGTTGAAAACCAGCAGATGTATGAAGTGTGATTTAAAGAAAATAATCTGCCCTATTTCCAGAGGAGATGAGCATTTTGTTCTCCTCTCACTCACTGCAATGCTATTTTGGCTGCAATCCAAAACAGGTTGTGGTTTTGTTTTTTTTTTTCTTTTAATTTCTTTCCTTTTTTCCCCCTTTTTTAATTTAGTCTCAGTAGGAGTGGGATGTCTGTATTATACAAGATTTTTAAAAGCAAAAGATCAGCCAGAAGTATTTATCATTGAACACCAAAGAAATTTTATTACTGAAGATTAGCCTGTCTGGTTTAGGTTTAGATTCTGTGGAAGACAGAGAAAAAGATGCTTTTTCCTGATAGCACACAGATGTGGAGTTTTCTTGTTTATTACATTTTTTTCTCCATTATGATGCCCAAAATTTCTAGAACAGTTTTTCTTCTTTTTTCCTCTTTTTTTCGCTTCTTTTTTTCCTCCTCTATATTTTGGAGTTGGGGGGTGGGGTCTGCTGAGTTTTATACAGCTGAAAATAAGGAATATCATGGGAGTTATTTTCTGCATAATTGTGTTATACTGTATAGCATTTCCTTGAAAGCTTTTTAGAAGATCTGTAAAAAAGAAAGTAAGCATGACTATGGTCTAGGACGCTATTATTAACGTCCAAATAAACCACTCTTCTGAACAGAATTGTGCAGTTAATGAGGAGCTTAGTTGAAATATAAGAACTTATTCTTTTAGTGTATTTGCTGCAATTTATAGTTAAATGCATGGTTGAAAGAAGTACTGATCTTCACATTTGTCTCATGTTAGGTAAATGTTTTAATTCTCTCTAGCTGTAATTGTTGAAATACTTTTACTTCTGAATTTTTGTAGTCTTTTGAAACAGTAATTTGATATGTAGCCTTGTGAGTGTGCAGTTGTTTTAGTATGTGGTTTGACATGTAGTTTTGCATCAGAGATCTGGAGTTGTATTATAGCTAAAAATGATCTTTGTGTGATACTTGTGATGTTTGCATCTAGTGTGTTGGATTATAGTTTTGCAGAAAGACTTCCATTATGCTTTGTAACCGCCTACCAAAATAAAAAGGCAGTGAGATAGGCCCTGATTCTGCTAAGAGGTGGAAGTCTTTAAGGGGAAACGAAATATAAGGTAGGGTGTACGTTTAAATTTTGGTTTTAGTTGCTTTGTGCTTGCTCTGTGTCTGGATGTGTTCAGTCCTTGCCAAAGTGTACCTATTTCAGTTGAGCTTAATTATGGAAGTGATTTCAGACTGAACTAAGATGATATTTCTAGTTACAAAATGTTCATATAACTGTTCTGGGTTGTGGTTTCCTTCTCTATGTGAGCCCTAAATTAGGACTGTGAACAGTCAGTGAGAATATTCTCTGCATCAGACCCTAAATTAATTTTTAACATCATCCTCTTCCCTAGTTACTCACTGTTTTAAAGGCCTTTAAGTGATAAAGCGTTTGGTTTTCAGACGTATGTCACTTTGTATATCTTTGTGTGATTTTATTAGTGTTCATGAGTGCTTAAAAGAAATGCTTGATGGTAGTTTAAGAAAGAACATACTTTAACACTTATTTTCTTCTTTTCAGTTATAGAGAGATCTTTTTCACTGCACAGAACACACTCTCTAAAGGATATGGAGAATATTTTTCAACTGGTGCGCAACGTTATCCCTCCTCTAACAGGGAAAAAGCATAAAGGTCAAGATGGTCGTATAGGCATTGTTGGAGGATGTCGAGAGTAAGTTAAATAGAAATTTGATTTTTGCTTCTCAGAGAGTTTGAGGATGTCATAAGTACTTGTAGAACCCATTCAAACTCACATTTAAAACGAGTATTTTCCAGGGAGCTTTACTAGTCCATCATCATGACCACGCATGCTTAGGAAAGAACATGTTTTCTTGCAGATGTGTTGCAAAATCTTGATGCTGAATGTGAGTGGAACTTAAAATGCTATCTGTGTCTGTTTCTACCTTCTGTGTCTTTTTTGACCACTAAACTGTCTGCTTTCAGTATTAGTTTTTTTCCATTGCATGATGACGTTATAGAATAAGTAGACTAGATCATGACAGTGGCACATCTGATTTTTTTTTAATATATATTTTTGTACCTTGAGAACTGGGTCTCTTAAATCAGGAATAGAATATTTTCTTACTGTGCCCTTTTTGTTTTGATAAATTGTGGTGTTTACTAGATTCTGTCAATAACTTGTTTTATGTACCAGAGTAATAAAAATAGCATGTTTCAGGGAAAAAAAGAGATGCAGCATAAATCAGTTAAGTGCTGTACTGACCTAGAAATAAAACAGGCTTTATATTCTTTGCCACAATACTTTGAATGAGCCACTCCACCTTCCTGTTCTTCATTTTCCCCTTTTGAAATAGGGACAACATCTTTCTCCTGTAAGAGAGATCTGCTGTTGGACATCTGCCATTAATAAGCATCCTATAAAGAGCAAAAAAGTGCTGTCTTATAGCTGGGTTGAATAGCCAGGAGTTAGAACCTAATGGGCTAGTAAGTTCTTACTTCTTGGCTGAAGTAAGCACTTCTGGAGGCTGGTACTGTTCATATCTCACTATTCAGTCTTTATGAAGAGAATTTAGGGCAACTGGAATCACAGTTTAGGCACTTTAGTTAAGCATCTAAAACCAGATGGGATTAATCCAGGTCACAGACCCCAGATTTAGCTTGCAAACAGTGCTTGGTGCTTGTTTTGTTTGTCTCTAAACTTTTTACCTTGGTTACCTGAAAAAATTCTACTGTTTTATGGCATGACCTTTGTAAATACTTCTATGAAAAATCAGGTGGATACAGTGAAATTTTGTGCCTTTGAAATCAGAGCAAGATTTGAGATTGGCTTCAGTATTGCAGGATTTTTTTCTGTCTTTTACAGCAAGCAGAAGGGAAAACAATTTTAAAAACTTGCTCTTGAATTTGGGATTTTATTACGGCAGACTGATTTCCAAATCATTGAATCTCATGACCGTGTTTCCTAACCTAAATTTTATTTCATTCTAGGTACACTGGAGCACCGTATTTTGCTGCAATTACAGCTCTCAAAGTGGTATGTGTTCTTCTATACCAGTCCAAAATGAACTTTTCATCATTTCTGTTGGCTAGGTGCCATTTTTAAAAGCATTCTTTCTCTGCTGCACATGAACTTTTGAGTTCTAGAAGGTCTTTTCTTGAACAAAGAAAATCCTGCATCCTAGATTTGTATAAATACTTTGTAAATATGGCATTCACTGTGTTTTCTTCCTCTGCGTAAGGTGAAGTTAGAAATATGTCAAAAAAATAAAAATATCAGAGACTTGGATAAGAAATTTCAAAATTTGATGAGATATTTTCTCCAAAAGTGAACAATAAAATAACTTTAGGTTATTGTTTAAAGTTATGATTTGGTGCTGCAGTGATTTCCTCAGTAATTTCTTCTGGACTTGATAAGTGTGTAGAATGAAATAACTTTTTTTCAAAACTTAAAACGTTAGTCTAGAAGGATTCTTATTGCTGTAAATCTAAAGATTATTGGTTGAATTTAATGTAATTTTTAATAGCACATTTTATTTACATTCTAATCTTCAGCAGAAGTATTTTCTAAGCTTCTTTTTCCTAGAAGGGTGAAGCTCCTTACTTTATTGACATATTAACTGGCTAAACATATTTATGCAGATTACATACAGTAGTGATTGTTCAAATGTAAACAAGTCACGCTTACATAATACATCTGATTTTCAGTACTTTATATATAGTGTGTCAGTACTTCCAGTTCATTGTGTATGAAGATTTCTTTCAATAAGTGGGTAACCAACCTAGATATTTCCAACCACCTTCCCCTCAGGATGCAGTCCCTCAAAGATTTAAAATTAAATTATACTATTTATTCATGTTATTAGAAGATACCAAAGCCACTCAGCTTTCTGTTCACTATGTACAAATACAGTGTCATACTAGGAGGTTCCTTACTGAAGTCACTTGGTCTCAGATCATTACATCTGCACATAAAGAGTGAGAGGATCAAATCTCAGCATTGCTTAGTACCTTGAATGTTAAATATGTAGTAGTAAAGCAGAGGAGACACTTCCTTAGCCTTGGGAAATTTCAGTATGCACAACATATGAGATCAGGTTTTCTGGTCACCGCTTACATAATTTTTATGTGTATTTCTGATTTTTTGAGTTAATAACAGAAGCTTGAGACTCAATTCTTAATTAAGCTTTAATGTTTATTTAGCTTAAGGGAGTGTTGTTGAAATTGTACCTGCCTTTTATCTTGTATGGATTTGGCCCACTGAATGAAAATGGTAGGACTGGAAATATACCCATATTGCATAGCTATATTTTGCAAGTATGTTACAGTACTATTGTGGCTCTCTAATGTAGCTTGTCTCATGTTCATTTGTATTCTTTTGCCTTTCTTCTTAATGTACATGTGACATTTTAGTTGTTGTTCATCTGCAAACGAGAAACATTTCTCAAGTGAGTAAAATTTCAAGATTTATGTCTCCAGTCATCCTATCAGTGAGAAACAGAAAAAAGTTATATTGGAAGTTAGATACAAAAAAAAAAATTCTCCAGAATATTTCATGATAGTCTAAGCCAAAATAGAAAAAATAATAAAGTTTGCTTTAACTACTGAGAAGGAAGAACTCAGATGAATTATTTGTTGAGTAAACTTTGGAATGGTAAAGTTATTATTAAGTATAAATTTGATAATACTGTTTGCAAATCTTCTTTTTTAGGGTGCAGATTTATCCCATGTGTTTTGTACCAAAGATGCAGCAACAGTAATCAAATCATATAGTCCAGAGCTGATTGTTCATCCAGTTCTGTAAGTGACTTATGTTTTGTTTAAATGAGCTGATCAGGCTTACTAGTTTGAACATTTCAATCTGATAATTGATTAATTTATGTTATTTCTTTTTCTGAGTTACTGAATAGGTGAGCTATGGATTACAAAAACTTCAGGATTTGTCCCTTCGTTACAGTTAGATATTTAATACAGAACAATCAATTGTGAATTTTTTTCATGACTATCAAAGTATAATTTCTAAAAAGCAAAGATCTTGCTTTCTGCTGCTTGCTGACATACGTTCTGTGATTGTAATGCACTTAACTGTAAACAGTTGCAAAATCCAGAACTCAGAAACACTAGAAGTCAGCATTTTGAAATTTGCATTTGAAAGGCAAGTGGAGTGTGTTCTCTTGCTTCTTCTGTCCTACTTGTATTTAACAGTAGTGTGTCCTTTTTCCCCTCCTGCTACTGTGCATATAGACACCTATGCAAAATGATTGGGCAAGAGAGATGCTGATTCTCTTTTTTTCTCCATGAGTATGTTGCTTTAGATACATACCTGTTCTTGGGAATAAATGGATGTTCCAAAGTGATATAAAATTCAGGTTTTATTAACAAGAAGATGAAAAGTTTAATAAGCAACTGTCTTCTTAATTTGGAAAATCAGTGTGTGCGTTTCTAAATTTGTGTTCTGAAATATGTTACTGACTGACAAACTTTCACAGGATAAATTTGTTTCAATTAGGTGTTATGATGGTTTACAATGAGCACTGCAAATGAGAATTAAGATGTCTACCTTAGGTATATGCCCCTGAGCTTAGTTTGCACCAGTGCATGTTAAAGTCTGTTGGTGTACATAGCAAAGCTGTGATTAAGGTAGAAAAAGCATAATTTAAAATCATGTTTGTCAGATACTGCTGTCAGAAAGGATTTATGACAGTAGAAATAATTTGGTGTCTGAGAAAAAGAATATGATCTTCCTTATGGGGATGCCTGTTGTAGGAAGCCATAAGTTTATTACATTCTAAAGGCACATTTCATTCCTGTCGCTGTAGAGAGTGGTGCTTAGAAAGAAGACAGTTAAACAGGGTTGTCTTTTGTTGGTTGCTTTTCCCCCACCCCTCCCCCCCTCCAAAGATAGGAGAAACCCATAACTTTATGGATTTTAGACAAGATAAAAATGATGTTTGAAAGCAAGGGAAAAATACACAGATAGGGGGTTTTTACCAGTATGACTGTGTTTGCCTCTAAAATCCTAAAGGCACATCTTCAGTCAATGTTCTGTCTGATACCATATGATAACAAATGCAATGGAGAATCCTAATGGCAGTATTAGCATTTAACTTGTGTTGTCTTGATGTATGACACTCAGGATTCAGCATATGGTTGTCTTGTATGATAGCAAGTTGACTTTGCCTTGGGAAAAGCATTTTTTGTGTACGCAGGGGTTCTTGATGTCTGGTAATGGTAAAGGTAAATAGGAGAAACAGAAGCACCATAGAGAAAAATACAGGTACCAAAGTGTAAACAGTAAACTTTCTGTTTACACTTCAAAAGTGTAAACAGTAAACTTCAGGACCAGATTGTGCCTGCTGGGTAAGAGTGGAGTGTTTTTATACACAGATTCTCAGTGTCTTCTGTGGAATTCAGATCTCAATGAAAACTCTGATCTTTCTATTCACAAAGAGAACTTTTGATTTTAAACTTCAACTCTGTCTATAAATTCCTCCAGATGCACAAAGTACAGTGAATCTAGAGATTTCCATATGCATGTATCTCTAAGTCTACAATTCAATATTTAATACTTTTAGTAAAACTGATTAATTTCACACAGACAGCTGGGCTAATTGCATGATGCAGTCGATCTGTAAATACTGTTTACATGACATTCAAAATGAAAAAACGCAAAATATGAGTGTTTAGATTTTATTTGTTCAATTTTCCTCATATTTTTATCTCTTCTGCTTCACTTGAGGGAAAGAGAAAATGGTTAGAAAGAAAAAAATCTTGACTGGCTCTATTGAGCCCAGATTTTATTTAAATTTACACTAACAGCCTATTTTTCTTGTAAGGTCCTTTTGTCTTCAGTGTCACACTTTTCATATGGTCTTTTATATGTTGTGGAGCCGTTCAGGTTCTGCAGGCACGGCCGGCTGCTCTTGATTCAGAGCCTGATCTCTTAAACAGTCTTTGTACTTTCTCCCAGGCTGCACTTCACGCATGGGAGAACCTCCGGGAAAAACCCACCAAGCAGCTATGTCATTGTTTTCTTTTGTGTCTCTCCTTAAAACTTTGCTTTGTTATGATTTCTCCATGACCCTTCAGAATAACTAGGTAGCTGTTGTACCACTCTCTTATTATGCTAATTATAATTATGGTCCTGTGTACTCAACTCACTGTTTGAACAGTTTGGCATTTTGCCAGGGTTCAGCTGCCATTTTGTGCTGCCAGAAGCCTGACATTTTATCATCTCTGTGACTGAGCTGCCACTACGTTTCTCTACTGCCTTCACCTCACAGGGAATCGTCTCAAGGAAAGAACATGCTCTTTTTTTGCCCTTGTCTAAATGCAAGGGCGTTTCTGGCTTATTAGGGGTGCTGTGGTGGATCTTGGCCAGCATGACTAGTGAAGGTATCTGAGAGCTAGAAGTTGGACTAGAGTGTTTCAGGTCCTTGGCAAACGTGTATCACTTCAAGGATGTTCAAGGAATGGTGTGTGAGAATGACTGAGTAGGATTGCAGAGGAGGGTTATGAAAAGGAACATCCATCTTACAGCATTGACAGGGGAATTCCTTGTGACCCCAGCTGTAGACCATCCTGGGATTCCTTTTGGTATAACAGCCTATAGTGGGGATACCCATAATGCAACTTTCTCTGAGGTTTTTGTCCTTGAGTTCATTCTTTGTGAGTCAACATGGGAGAGCTGGGACTACACATGGCAGCTTGGGATCTGGAAAGATGAAGTTTCAGCACCTGGCTCTATGTGTCCTCGCCACCTGAGTGGAATAATGATAACTGAGTGTTTAGGGGCCATGAATAGGCAATATTATCAGTAGTAACTTTTCCTTTTTATTCAGAGATTCTGTCACATGCATTATGGCCCCTTCCACCATGACCTGGTAGTATTCAAAAACTGACCAGCTTACCAGTTCAATATTTTTGCTGTCTCACTTTTTGCTTTCATGTAGAGAAGCGTGTATTGTAGTGAAAAGTGTGTATTGTAGAAGTTAAGGCCTTTTGAATAGTGGAATAAATGGAGTCTTGGTGACAGCTGCCTTCCTTGGTCTTGTCACTGCTACTCCCAGTTTGTGCTACATTTTTCCGTTTTCTCAGCTAACATGTTCCTACTGTAAATGCTACACAATTACAGACAAGATAAAACTTAGCTTTGGCATTTTATTAAGTTTTACTGCAGGTGTCTCCTGTGTGGATTTTTGCTGTAGATGTGTGTACAGATGTGTGTGTGTCATGCATTAGTGTTGAGAACTTTGTAGAGAAGAGTTCTCAGCGGCTTTTTTTATATACCTAGTTAATTCCCTGGCTCAGGTCAGGTTGAATAGACTTCTTGGATACTTGTGTTGGATTGGCTTATCCTGTCTTGATAGGCAAGTGATCACAGAACTAAATGAGCTATATGAACCCAGCTGGTTATATTTTAAAAGAAGATTGAATAAACCTATTGTGCTAGATTCCCCTCTTGCAAGGACATTTTGCAATTAATTGTCCAGAAATTTTCTCCTCTGTAGACCAGGAGACATCCACATTCTACTGAGTAGGCCTCTTGTAACCTGGTTATCAGACACTTAGTAAAATCAGCAGTCTATACTCCTTGATCTCTGGCAGTTTATCAGAGAAGTAGAATGAGATGTCAGGGGCCAAAGAAGTTAGGTAATTTTTCCATTATTCACAAAAAAAGTCACCCTTGAACTAGGTATGGATTTAGAACTAATATCTTCCTCACAGCTGGTTGTATACATGGGCCTGTATGGACTAGGAAAGATTGCCAGAATTACTGGAAGTCTTATAGTTAATTGCAGAGTTCGAGTTTTGGCTTGGATTTTGAAAGATTATTCTTTTGAGTTAAAAATAACGGGACAAAATTCTCATGAGGCTGGACTATATGTTGAGGCCAGTCACCACTAATGAAGAAACTTGATGGGGGTTTCTGGAACATATTTTACCTAATTTTACTGAATTTTGTCTACATTTTGACAGTTTGATGAAGTCACGAGTCATGAATAGTGAGCTCCTGATAAATTATTTGAATACTTTTAACCACTGGCAAGTCTCTTAAAGAAAGCCTAGGAAAAATCTTAAGATTATTAGCCCTTTATAATTTATTATGTGGAGAGGAAACTCACACCTTTCAGTTGTTAGCTAAGGCTAGCTATTAACCAACACTTCTGTGTAACGGTGGGACTTATGCCTCTTTTGGATCAGCTGCTGGAAAAAGTGCAGGAGTTCATGTCACCAAGGAAAGTCAAGGGGAAAGTCAAGGAGAAAGCAGAGATTGCTTCAGTTACCAAAAAGATGTCTCCCAAGTGACTTGGCTGCTGGATCCTCATTATACCTGCAGAGAAGATGAAGGAAGGCATAAACTGTGTGATGTTTCTCCCAAGCCCCATTTAGACAGCAGTTTAACTAGGAATCACATAAAAAAGTTTTTGTATTTTTTTCTTAGGTTGTCAGGGAGAGATAAAGGTCAGTTTGTGTGTGCCGAATCAGAGATTTTATATATTTAAACTGTGTCCAGTCCTGTTGTGCAGTGCTGTGGCCAAAACTTGCTTATGGACCTGTTTCTTGTGTCCAGCTTTCTTGGCAAAAAGCTGCTGCTTCTTTACTGTGTGTTGCAGTGTGAATAAAAGCTGGGAGGTGTATTCAGCCCATACTATAGTCCCTTTCCTCCCTGTTGTTGCAGAAGTCCCATGTGATACTAACACAGATTTTGTCACCTCCTCAAAATGTGAGAAGTAGCCAAAGGTTTTTAGCATTGCTGCAGGGAGTGCTACTGGTCTTGCTGCTTCCTGACGTGTCAG